TTTTGATGATGATAACATCATTTAAGTAAAAATGTTTGCATCGGTGCACACACACTCAAAGCACGCACACATTACTTGTTAAATGTTGGGAGACATCTACTAACTAAATTTAATTAATCTAAACTTTTAGTGAAGTAGCCATGCGTAAGCAGGATATTATTGATGAAGCCTCTGGAGGTGAAGTTGTTTTGAAATATTTTGGATTGCATTTCATGTACTCATAAGTTATTTACAGGGGTATAATTATTGGGAGAGGGAAAAGGAATCAGCAACACCTGACACATATTTTATAAAAAAATAATCATCTGAGAATTAACATGGAAAATAACTATTAAGATGTTGAATTAGCTCTTAAACGCATTAAGTCTGACTCTCACTGCTTTTTGTTAGACAACAGGAGATATCAGAACTGGCATGATTACGAAGATGATGTCAACCTTAAACATGACAAATAACTATAAAGTTATACAAATAGCAAAGAATGTAACACAATGAGACAAAAATAGTATACATTTAAATGAAAAGTATAAAATGGAAAATTCTCAAGGTAAATAACTCTCTGTGTTGCCACAAATACCAAACCACAAATGTGTGTCTTGATATTATGCTCCCATTTTGTATTAAGCAAAAGGGGATATAGGTCGGGCCTGTCCAGCCAGAGCCCCCCCCCCCCTCTCCCCGCTGCCTCACTCCTTGCCCGAGGACAGAGGTCCCATAGCTTTTCCTTTTGGACCTTCAGTAAGTGTACTGTACGCACAGCAGAAGCCCCACAGTCCATACAAACTGATAATCCCACCCAGCCACTCCATTAGAGGAAAGAAGGACTAATACTCATTGCCTTAAGGGGGACATGCAGAAGCCAAAGGCAGGCTGGTGCTCCTGCAAAACCTTTCACTGTGCGTCCCTATTATCCACATGCATCAACACAAGAAAGTGTTATTTTCCTATGTTTAGAAGTTCACATTCTCACTTTTTACATAAAATCAAGCAAAACTTTCTGGGTCGCCTTTGTGCTTTTTCTTTTTTTCATTATTCTTTCATCAATGGACTGTGAGCATTGACTGCCTAGTGTGTGTGATCATCACAACAAACTCACAGTAGGGAGCTCGATAGCCATCTTTCCCAGCCTCCAATACCATCTGTCTCATATGGATCTCTGGAGGTTGACGACTGTTGGCTTGGGAGATGTTCACACCACAAAGCTTCTGGGCAGAACAGAGTTGGAGGAGGTGTATCTGCTCCAATTGAAGCTGTTCAGTCATCTTCACACACAGAATAGGGGCTGGTAGAGTATACACACTCTTTTTCATGCTCTCTTTCCCTGTCTGTCTCCCTCCCTCTCACACGGAACAGCAAGAGTGATCAAACGCGACTGTGATGTCTTAATTAAGAAGTACTAACAGGCTTGATTAAAAGGGGAGAATGAAAGGATCTGTCAGTAAAAGGAGCAATTCCCTTATTGGCCAATGGCACAACACAAATGGATGGTAGAGGAGTTAGTGTGAAAATAAAGTGGAGGGGGAAAAGTAAGTAAGAACGCGAAGAGTCCCAGTTTAAAAAGAGGTGAAAATTCAAGCAGCACCTTCTGCTCTGGGTATATCCTTCTATGTTGGAGATATTTTTGTAAGGTGGCAGCACAAGGAGAGCAATCAGGATGTCAGACAAATGCTGCTACAGCTGACCTAAGTTTATTTTTGGGTCACATTCTAAAGCATGGATATGAAAACAAACAGACCAGGCTATTACCAGTGGCAGCAGCTTCTCCTGCTCACTTTACCCATATTTCCTGTTCTCTTTCACGTGTCTTTGAGCTTTTAAAGGATTCAATTAACCTGAAATGAACACACTGTCTGTCTTCCTGTCTCTGCCCCATATTCATGTACTATATTCTCCCCTCCACTTCCCTTTTTCACCAATCAGCCCCATCCAGTTTTTTTCAAATATGAGAAAGCTGCAGGGACTTATAGATGATGAAATTGATCAAGATCAAGAACTTCAGTGTGCAGTATTGCATTGGTGCCAAACTTGAAAGTGAACACAGCTAAATCAAAGGAGTGAATTTGGTTAATACAGGATGGTGACATCATGAAAATAATAGACTTAATATAAACTTCAATAATATTTTTGCAACCTGACATGACTGTGAACTCAGAAAATCAGTCATTTCTCTACCAGCTGTATACACTGCAGAAAGCTGTCCAATCTGATTATAATGGGTCTCCATTCATTGCGATTCAGACTGCGAACAGATTTTATACATTTGTCTGTCTCAATGAAATATTTCACACGGTGCCAATTTTCACATAAAAAGAAAAAAGAAAAGAGCGACTTGCTCTGATGTCAATGTAGCCTGTGGCATCTGAAACCCTTTTTTAGATACTGTGTAGAATATTTTTTTTATTTATTAGGATTTTTCTGTGAAATTTTCAGGATTTTCTCGCTCTCATCACAGCTGCTCAAAGTCTTGTAAACTGATTCAAGGCAGCAATTTCAGGATGAAGACTGTAAAGTGTCTGCTGTCAAACTGTATTGTGTGTTAAGACTTGCTATTTTATTCGTTTAAAGAGAAAAAGTCTGGTTCTGTTGGCTGATTTTTTCCTCTACAGCATTCCATCACATCAGAGGAAGGCAGGAAATTACTCCTGTCTTCCTCCTCCTTCTATGGTACTATTCTAAAGATTTTATAATTAATATTTCACGGCATATATAATTGATATTTTGAATACCTTTGTGAATATTTATTGCCATTTAACACATCTAATCCAAACTGTGTTGTAACTTCAAGACAGCCCACTCTTCTTCTGTGCCCTTCTTCTTGTGGAGGCAGCAGACACACCTCAGCCCTGCTGACAGCCCACAGCCTGACTCTGCAGTGCTGCAGAGCTCAGCACAGCTGTCTGTTGTCCGTTTCTTCCGATCTCCATCTTGTCCTGCCTCACTTCCCACTTTGTGCCCGCTCAGCACGATACTGATATACACCTCTGCTCAGTCATCTCTTTGGAACTCTGGTACAACTCAAAGTATGACAATAAGAACAATATGTCGTACAACTCATGGATTAACACAATTAAATATGAAGCTCACAATAGTACATGTTCTGAGTCAAACTAAATGACCAGTCTTCAGGCTCATTTAAAAAAAAAAATCTCCTTTCGCAGGGCCAGCTTTCATCCGGGAGAAACAGATGACAGACATCATATACTCGATTATACTTATTCCAGTAGACCTAAGGCGGTGTGATTCTACAATCTACAGCTTGTTAGCATTACTCAAATCATACACAGCTTTTTATCCACCTGGGCTTATGTTGTATGAGCAAACAGCCATGCAGGGCTCCCTCTGTGGGGCAGTATCTGCCACAGTAAGACTACTTGTGTCAGCATTTCATATGAGCAGTGGCACCATGTTGACACACAGCAGATGAATATAAAACCTTGAGAGCTAAGATGCGCTAGAAGCGAGCATAAATATTTCTCATAAGCACATAAACACACAGGCACGCACATTCTTGAGTGTCCCACCCAGCAGGCACAATCACACTCAGGCAGATAATTCAGTGTCACAGAGAGCCTTGTCTGTGACCCTCTGGTCCCCTCCAGACAGAGGAAGCAGCTGGACAACGACCCACGGATGCCCAGAACTCACTTTCCCTGGGGAGCTCAAAGGAGAAGAGCCCCTCTCTGCCTCCGAGGATGACCAGCTGAGCTCAGTATGGTGAATGCGCTGTTATGCCCACATGCCCGGGAACGTCTAAGCTGGATGAGCAAGACTTTCAAACATAGAGCAGTACAGTACTTTTTTCTTCCGCTCAGCAGCATGAGAAATAAAAGATCCATCTTGTACTTCCGAACTCTCTTCGAAAGATGCTTATCTCCAAGCACCACAGGGAGAGAACATGGAAGATTGTTTCATGTGTGATTTAAGTAGAAACTCACCAATTATTTGTAAGATGAGACTGCTTTACTTTTACCACTGAAAGTTACCACTTTACCTTCTGATTCACCAGGATTATGACCTGGATGATTGACAATCTGCGCCAACATAAAGTCAAAGTCTTCCATATGCAGTTCTGTAAAATCAGAAACATGGATAGTATCTGAGAACAGAATTTAAATTTATGGGAGTGAAGTGCAGTAGCAGTGGATCCGTTTTAACCATAAACCCAATGACATCGGTGGTTTTTCATGGTGATTAAGAGAAAAAAGTCAACAGAAGAGGGCACGGAGACTTACACTACTGAGGCACCACACACACACATAACATATTCAGTGTTGAGTGAGGCCTTACTAAGTGCATATTAATATTGTATGGTAAAATGGGAAATGTTAACATTTTTTTCAATTGCCTTTGCAGCCTAATGAAATATTAAATAACGAGAGAGCTTTTGTTTAACCATAATGCCAAGAAAGGGTAAACATGACATAAATAATATTTTTGTGCAGAGTTTGAAACATGTCATTCCTGAAGCTGTACTTTGTAAATTTATACAGATATATCTTTGTAAGAGACATTCACAAACATCCTGCAAAGACTGATATTGTTTAAGTACACGTCAGAACCAGTTAAAATTCTTAAACACAATAACAGCCTGACAGCCTTTAATATGTGCTTCGATGTGGGATGAGATCTTAAACTTTTTGGTTTTAAACTTCCTTAGTATTATTGTCATTATTTGTGGGACTTGTTCACAAGTGAGCTCATAAACCTTGTGCTTCTGATCTTCCCCTCTGCCAGCCCTGCCATTAGCAGCTCCACAGAGACCCAACTTTTACTCATCGCTCATGCAATGTTCTTCCTTCAGTGCATGCAGCCTAAAGCAACATGCCGCAAGCCCAAATGACAAATGACTAACAGTAATAATAGTATATCACACAAGTAGTACAAGTATGTTTGCGACAGAGGGGGAAAAAAGTTTAACTTTAAAAAGAAAAAAGTCATAAACATAAAGCTGGTGGCCTTAATGAAATACACATGATTTAGACAAAAAGTTAATAAAATAGTTTTATTTAGAAATGAGAGCAAGTACAGCAGCATATAAACAAAGAGGATGACTCAATCTGAGTCTGAGTCACCCCTCGTTTTAATGATCCGTTCGGTTGGGCTTTCACTCAGTGTGCCAAACCTATGCGGCGGCCACAGCTGTAAAGGACAAAGAAAACAAAATAACAAGTAGTTAAAAGAGAGAAAATACACACAAAATAAGGGGCTTCAAATCCTTGTATGTAACACTTTACTTCACACACTGGCTAATACGACTTTTAATGATGCATTTGACCTCGTTGAAAATCCAGTTTTTTCATCAGCTGTCGTAATAAGGCCTCCAGTGGAGTGCCTCTGTCCAATCAGATGGACAGAAGGTTGAGTGACCTGTTTCCAGGGTCATGGTTGCTATGACATACAGTGACATGACAATGTAGCAGAATGGAAAGCTGGACAATATGTTCTCCAAGCTTTGGTCAATAAGAGGCTCTGGCTTTAAACTTCTAACTGATTAATATCTCAGAGTTGTGCTTAAAATGACCTTGAAGAATTTATTTAAAGTAGAATAAAAATGCATCCACTGGTCAAATGCCGAACCCCTAATCAAAGACCAAAGTCATGTACTAAAAAGATGTAAAAATGAACCCGTGGTTTTGAAAAAAAGATAAGTGTGTTGGAGAAAATTTTGACTGTTACCTTTAAGCAAACACGCCCTCGGATGAGGGCATAGGGAACTGGGCCATAAGTCCTTGAGTCTGTGGAATTCCTAAGGTTATCACCCTCTAGCCACACATGGCCTTTAGGAACCTGGAAACAACACCACACACACAGAAAAAGAGGGCAAAATTATGAAGACATGGAGTGGTCCACTGAGCAAAAGTGGAATCAAAGACATAGCACGTCCCTGAGACTGGCTTTAGGGTTCCACGTTCAGTTGTTCAATTTTTTTTTTTGTAAAAGTCTACCTTAACCCAACTCCTACCCCCAACGAGTGGCCTCAGCCATCACTCCCTCCTCAGCCCATCTTAACGTCTGCCTGTCCCTCTTTAACCCTGCACCGTCTTAGGAGTGGGTCATGGGTAACGGGCAGGGTCGAGGGGACTGGGATTTAGGAGAACTTCAAACAGGGTCATTAGGCTGTTGGCTGAGAATTGCGCCCCTCTTACCCAGGGAGGGCAAAGCCAGAGAGGGGCCTGAGATGGCTGGACAGAGGCAGAAGAGGGAGAGCGAGAGAACTAAGCTGCAGCTAGCAGCAGTGTCCAAGGGTCTCCACCGCGGTCCGACCTGCCAGTGGGGCGGTCATCCAAGCGGGCTCTAATTCAGTGTGACACCAATTATGATTAATCTCATCACTTGAGGAGAGTAGGCTTGTCAAGGCCCTAATTAAGTGCACTGTCCCCCCTATATGTGCAGACAGGATCAACAACACATTATATTGTCATAATGGGCATCACAATCCACGAGTCTATTTTTGTGTTGCCTAACTTTTTAATGGCAAAAGTCCTCTGGAAGAAAGAATTACATGAATACAGAAACAGAATTCTTGCCACAGTTAGGTGATGTCACAGCTTTGACTGTGCTGATGTTCATATTTCTGACACCCTGCTCCTTGATTAGTCCCCAGTCCTACAGTGAGATGCTGCATTTCATTTCATATTTGATAATTGAGACAGATGATGTGACATAATCGCAAGTTGGTGACACGATGACCTAACATGAAGCAAACAACTCAATGAATAACATCGAAACAAATGAATATCATTAAAGGAGTCATCTGAGAACCATATGTCAGCGTGCTGGATTCTCACCATTACACCTAATTAACATGGTAACATATGCTGGCTCCCAAGCACAGGAAAAAGAAACGCCACTGTGCCAAAGAAAAATGATGTATAAGATGTATCAATAAAAAATTTTAAAAAAGCAATTTTGGTTGTGCTGAACTTTTATGAACGACGGTTTGATGAGGAAACCCCAAGTGCTTGTTGAAGCTCTCTGTGAAGAGATTCCATGCATGCAAATCATATTTAAAGTTATATGTAGGCTCAACACAAGAACTGGTGCTAATCTATAAGCTCCTATCAACCATATAAAAAGTAGATACTTTGTTTTTCAGGTATGTGACACAAAAACTCAAATCTGCGGAAGGACAAGTCTAAAGACCATAAAATACTTTATAGAAGACCTTTACCAGTGCCAGAGAGCCAAGCATGATGATGACGTACTTCTACTTCTCAAATAACTGACATTTGAAGCAGGATCAACACCTAAAAATCCTGTGAGTTACTGGCTTTATTTATTTATCTATTTTGCCAACACATTAAGGCAATAATTAAGTCGTTCCTCTGAAGACAGAGCGGTGAAATATGTGAGTAATTTGTCAATTTGGCCCACTGCACTATCCATATGTCTGGGTTTGACACGGGAACAGATTTCCTCACTTATGTCCAAAGATCCGCACAGGCTCAACACAGAGTTGAAGCATTTAAGTGTCTCGTCCCTTTGATCATCTCTGCCGGGGACTCGGCTGTGATGGATGGGAACGCCTGCACCCATCCTGTGGATTCAGGTTGGGAGGATGCCAAGCATTGTGTACCTGTCAGAGACGTGTCGAGAAGACCTGAAACTGGAGCTCTTCTCACTGTGGAGCAGGATTGTTGAACAGCTATGCCATTACACTGCTCATTATGTTAACATGATTGGGGTGGGGGAATTAAGTTAATCTTTATACTGTATATGAATATTGAGTGAATCCTTTTCCATATTACTCTGTCTACCTTAACTGGAAAAAAAAGAGAAAAAAATCCTAACATTTCATCTCTCATATGTCTAAATCTCTGCTGGTATAGTGTTAGGGATCAAGTGGCATTGTTTTGACACAATAGCTCAGACACAAAAATGATTCCTAAAAGGTGAGAGAGCAATTAGCCTGTTGTTGAATCTCTGAGGGTGGAATAGACGTGCTTGTCTTTCTGAGCAAGAGAGAAGGTGATGACAGGGTCTAACACTGCCTTCAAACATTCATCGTTACAGGATCACCCATTATGCTTCACACAATCATAATAATCACACACAAAACACATGGAAATCTTAAAAGAAAAAGCCTGAGGGACCTCAAACATTTATGTGAACAACAGGTATTTTCTCAGTTACCACAGTTGCATTCACACAGTGACAGCGATTTGGCCCCTGGGGGTTTGAAAAGAGAGAGAAACACACAAAAAAGGAAAATCATGTTTAAGACCAATGGAAAAATGTATTAAAAAAGGTCTTAAAATCAGTTTGTAACTGCTATTTTTCTAAACCTTAAAGTCATATTTTGTTCATTTAAAAAAAAATAATTTAGTCATAGATTGCAAAACATACCGGTAAGGGAAAAAAAATTATTTGATCACATGGATGAGAAATGACAGACCTGAGACTACAGATTTAAAATAATCTGTGCTGTTCCAAAACTTGACAGGAGGCAAGTTTTGGAGCACAGTCTTGATATGCTCACTATGAAAAGATAACGAGTGCTTCAAACTCAAATATTGCAAGGGCCACTCTACACACACTGGGAAGTTTTGTGTCCCATCTCTGTCACAGCAGTTTCACACAGCACTGCAATGATAAGCAGCTGCTCTGCCAACACTGAGGAAATAGCATTAGCAGTGGAAACCAAAGTAGAGAATATAGTCCAGCTGTGGCATGCAATGGAAAAATGGCAAAAGACTGAGAGGCTGCCAGGCACTCAACCACTTTTGATCAATGAGATAACCAGCTAGAACGGACTGGGCTCTTTGGAAACGGGCCTTAAAGACAGCAAGAAAACAAATGCTGAAGCTGTTGCCGTTTTCTGGGTTAGAATTTTTTAACTTAAATTCTGAACTAGACTGAAATAGTTGATCCTAATTGCGACCATGGCTTTAACAGAAAACCAAAAGCCTTGCCACAATTTCAAGGGGTGACATATGAAAGCCTGAGAGATTAAAACATTTTTTCAGTAGATTTTAAACATGATTATTTCGACCGAAAAGTATTTCAACATGGCTTCAAAGCAGACTGGGCTGTTTTTGAACATGACTTTAATACACTGTCACTGATGCCAAACAGTGTTGGTATCAGTCATCAGCCCCAGAAGTTGCTGCTTGTATGAGTCAGCTTGTAAACGAGTCAACAGATAAAAAATGTTAAGCACTATGAGCACAAACCCATTTTTGAATTTGTGTTAAAGGATTTCAAACGTAATATAAATGAATAAATGGAATGGAAGCAAAAATGCACAATCCTACACTCATCTAAACCATCTTAAAATCTATAAAAGACTGAAATTAAGGCATTCTTTACAATGTAGTGATGCCCCTAACACATTTCAGTATTTTGTATGTGCAGGAGAAAAAAGTAGAAAAGTAAACAACCCTGTATCCGTTTACTTTTACATTTGGCGGATGGCAGGCGCAGGATATGACTTGAGCTATGTTTTACTAAACTCATTCAACTATCTTCTTATAGTCTTTAAAACACAAACTGAATTCAAATACATGCAGCATAAACACAGCCTATGGTTTGTGGACTTTCTGTACACTCACGCACACACGCACCCCTCCTCCCTCCCATCAGTCCGTCCATTCAGCTGGCACTAACTCTAACAGGCTTCAGAGAGATTGCAGGCCTGAGCTGTGGGTGTTGGGGAGAGTAGTAATAGAAAAGCAATGACAGTGGTTTCAGCAGCAGAACCCCTGTTCACTCTCTGGTTTTATCACTGTTCTAAGGAAATATAGGTGTTGTCAAAAGCTGATATTTTGACCAGTGACACAAAACGGATGTGTGTAGTCTAAATATGTAAACAACTGCGACGGTGTACAGACTGTGGAACTCGTACAAAGAAAATCTGAGGCACAGTTTTGCAGGACAAATAAAGATTCTGTTTGTCACTTTAGGGTGAAAGAAACAACCGAGCGTTTTGTACTAAACATCCTCTATTCACTATTCCACTGCATCTCTCGCAGATTTTTGTTTCTTTAAAAAAAAAACACTGAGTTGTGGCTTCTTGGTAAAGCAGGTAAAGATTGTATATGTATACAAAGAACAACTCCTCCATGAGTACAGGCATGTATGATATAAAAATACTTACAAATGTGTGGGTCGTGAACAAATCTGATGGGGAACTGGTGCAGACCTTATCACCTTCCAGTCCAATCACCCTTTTACAAATGTTCATATGTGGGTCAAATGGACTTTTGGCAATTACAATATCGCCCCTGAAAAATGGAAAATGACCATTACTTTATAAATAATAGCATAGAGACCAAAAGCATAACATATAACATAACACATATCTGTAGCTAAGCTATAGGACATAAAATACAAATGTTTAATGTTTATTGTGATTGTTCACGAAGTTGTACATGACTGTTACCCACTTTTCTATTTTACAAAGATGACGACTCATGCGTTCAGAGAAGACGACATCATAGTTTACAATGGTGGGTTCCATGGACGGACCAGAACACTGAATCAAGACAACAACAACAAAAAAAAGACTAGTTTTTAAGAAGAAGCATTAAGGTGGAAAAATTGTGTCAAGTTGTTCATCTTAATAATACAAACCACCACGAACTCTCCGATGTACTCAAAAGCACAGTGAGCAATGCAGCCATACTGGATTGTGTAACCCACAAAGCCCAAGGTCTTTCCAAGAGCACGGCGATACATCTCCACCTAAAAAACACAACAAACAGAGGTTATGGCACACCGTTTTCAATGTAGACGTTTAATCCATTCTTGGTAGGCGTACCTTACTTATAAACATAAATCTTGTAAACATAACGGCTGTTTGGGGTTTCATTTCTGAAGGTGTGACAGGGTTGTCACAGTTGGCCTACTGCTAAGATGGCACATTCTCTGGTGTTTCATTCTCAGGGGCTGAGCGGCCAGTTCACACCAGAAAACTGCCCTGAACTTTGATCTTACGTACGATGGACCCATCAACACCTCGTGCTCAGGTGATGCACAAACACAGAAGCTGTGACACATCCAGCCAAGCAGCTCCGTGCTGTCTGCAGCCAGCCGCTGACACTCCGCTGCCTCCACCACCACCACAGTCATTAGAGCAGTTATCAACTTCTGTCAGCACCATAGAAACACAAAGACACCACGGCACCCGTACAACTGCTTTGCAAACACTGGGAGATAAGCACACAGAAGGAGCATCCACATGTGTCCTCAAAGCAAACATCTCAGCCACACTCTGGCTATTTACCTTTACTCCACTTGTGGGATGGACGAAGAGAAGCAAGCCACTATTTCCACACCATCGTGCAGGAAAGCAGTTGCACACACACACACACCTGCATACACACAAACGTGGGCAGGAGAGCCGGTGATACGACATGGCTTAGATGTTTGTGTGACCTTCAAACATTTTCTTTTCTTTTTTTTTTACATAAGGTTGCTGTCCTGCCAGTCCACCGCAGGCTAAAAAAAATCTTTTTCTTCATCCCCCCTGTTCCTTCTGTCTCCTTCCCTCTTTTTCTCTCCATGTCTCCTCTCCCTCCCAGGGTATTATTAACCAAAGCAAGCAGAGCGGAAACCAAAGCCCCAAATCCTCAGAGCTCTGGGAATGACTTCCCAAAGATGGACAAGGATTAGACCCCCAATTTCTCCCTTGCCCCACCACCTCCACCTCCCCTATCCCTGGGTTCCCAACAGACCGGGTGTCAGGTGGCTATCCGAGCCCTGCCAAAGGTGTTACCCCTAATCCCATTACCCCCCCACTCCACCCCCCACCCCCCCACTCTCTGCTCTCTCACACTCACATACACACACATTGCTCTGTCATCTTTCTTACTACACTTCACCTATTTAAACTCTATCTATGCTTTCATCCACAGTCTGGTTTGTGTCTTTGGCCTATTCACCATCCTCTCTCATCCAAAAAAGACCAACTCCATCCTCTCACCTCCCTATGTGACGCTCCCTCCCTCTGTTTCTCAATCACCTCTAGCTACCCTCTGCTTTTCATGAATACTGCCAGTGAAAAAGCTCGAGCAGGTGAGGGGGGACATGCACACACTCACTGTGCACGGCCAAAATGAAGTGCCTCTCCACCTGCAACCCTCTTCTGTTTCTTGTTCTGTTACTAAGGACCTCTAAACTCGGTGTTCCCCCAGCTGCTAGGCAAAAAAAAAAAAACTCTGGCAGTCTAATTTTCTCTGTTGGGGAGAAAATGGTCTGAAGGTTAATGTGACTCTCGGGCTTGTACTAAGACAACATGCTCATCTGTGTCCGTGGCGCTCCCTGCTTGCTCCACCATCATCTCTGTCGTAGCGGGCCAATAATGCACTGTCAGACAAGATCTCACGTGCGCTCGGCCTTCTGCTAGACCGGGGATAAGGAATCTTTGTTAGCACTTATTCGCACAGCACAAGTGGACAGCCTCCCAAACAGCTGCCCTCATATCTCTGTTTCATCACCACCACCACAACCCCTCCATACACACACACATACACACACACACACCACCTCTCCATTCCAGCATGCATTCATCATAGGTAGGGATTAAGGGGCTTTGCATAACAAGATCACACGGCCAGTGACTGATATCAAGAGAGTCCATATGCAGCCGCCTGGTTTTCTATGGAACCCCGTGTCATTGATAGTGTGTGTCTACGTGTGTGTGTTTATGTGCACGAACAAAAGCACCACCGACGTGCTTTGCAGAAACTATAATATATGAGGTGTAGTGCCTCCTTTGGGACTCAAAATGAGGTGGACATCCACAGAGACCTCTGATTAGGTCTCCATTACCTCTAATTCCCCAGGGCAAAGAGTCAGGCGACCCATGCTATCTCTTACCCCTGAAACTCTGTGCATGTGTTTGTGATTGGGCAAATAGCCTTAATTGAATGCAGTATTACAGCTGCAAATCAACATAAAGTCTATGTGTTAATCCAGGATTACACGGCAAATATGTCCATGGGAGAAACAAAAAAAAAGGATTTAAAGCAGCCTTCCCGGTAGAACCATCTGTGGCTGCTGGCCTCCCGTTGTCCCCGCACAGCGCTGCAGTGTGGAAACCAGGAGCCCCATATGAATGGCTGCCGGTGGAAACATGTCATTGTGCTTTTAACTCTGTGATCCTCTTACGGAGGAAGCCTCGTTCATTCAGGGCTGAGCAATCAGAGGTGTGTGTGTGTTTGGGGGGGGGGCGGTACACTTTCTTTTTTTTTTTCCTTATGCTGAAAATGAACATGCACTGCAGCGGTGGAGGTATAATCAGCTCCAATTGATTGTAAAAAAACAAAAACACAACCGGTGAACAATTTATACACAGTACAAAAGACATTTATGAGAATTTAAAAAATATATATTTGTTAAGGAGACGGACTGCTGAATTGTTGCTGAATTTGCCAAAGCCCTTATTCCCATAGCTGGGTGAGGTAACTGCAGAACATACAGTAAAAACAATCAAATAAATAAAAAGTTTGTCCAAAGCATTACTTATTTATAGACACATTATTGAAGCCATAAGGAAACAGTCTGATAGGAATTACCTCCACTGGTCTCAAGAGATTTGACAAGCTGCCACTGCTGAGGAGTGTTAATTGATATACATGACCAGACTATTAGAACCACAAAGAGAATTTCAATCCAAACAGCACACAAGGGCCTTGCAGTGGACTTCTTACACAACTAAATTAGGAAAACATGGGCTGAGAGAGAACTGGGCAACAGGGGGGCTAAGAGGCTTACGAGCCCCTTGTCAGATTTTCTTCTTCTCCCCGAGGATCCCAGATGGAAGGGAGTCTGGAAGAGCAGCCAGACCAGAGTGGGGACCAAAGCCACCTCTGATGTCTTCCTCTGAGCAGCAGAAGGCAGGGGAGGGTGGGGTTTTAGTTCTGTTGGGCGAAGCTTGATTTGATCTTAATGTGAGCTATAAAAAGGAGGAGCTTTGTCAACCAGGGGGGTCTGTTTCAACTATCAGAGCAATCAGAGCTAATCCTGTCGATTTAAACACAGACACCTGGCTGAATGGGAAGTGACAGATGCAAAAGTCCCAGTGACAGAGGACTATGTATACCCCCCATCTCTCCCAGGACCAGCTTGTATCAGAAGCTTAATTGAAAAGGCCGATCCTTGTATTGCTCTGTTCATTGTTGCTAGCAGGAACACAGCTCCGAAACAGCTGAGCAAGGTTACTATTTGAAGAGCTCAGGGTTTACGCTCACAATAAATGGGTCAACCAGAGCAAATAATAGCAGAGGGAAATGAATAAATCTGTTGTGCTCTGAAAGGAAGTATAGGTTGACAGAGTCCCCAGCCAATTATATTCAATGGAAAAATCAGTCACTAAGCCTTATTGTATGGAACACGAGTGATTGAGTGGTGCTGGCCTGGTGCTGAGAGAGTTTAGTAATGCTATCTGGTGTTAAATCAGACTTACAAAGGCGTTTGGGTTATCCACTGCCCAAACTCATGACTTGTATACTTGTATATTTCAACACAAGCTAAAGACAGCCATCTTGACTAACCTTCAAGTCCTAAGACTGTGATTTCCTTTAATTCTATGGGAGCATGTCTCAGTATTTTTAGAGTTTCATGGGCTCAGCTGAACGTTACTCACTGCATGATGATGGAACATCTCATTTAAAAAATCTCAGTGAACCAAAATAAGCAATTCAAATATGGGATGTTGAATAAATGGAAAAAGTCAAATTCTTTGACAAAATTAGCTGTGTTCAATACCTGTCCTGTGCTTATTGTACTGTGGACTTTTACTATTGCCTTCCTCTCAATGTTAACAAAACAAATACCCTGAATGTTGATGGCAATCTCGCATCCTCCGGACACAAAAAGCGGACTGCTTCTTGCAGTTCAACACTGATGGCAGAGTTAGACTAAAGAAACCAAACATTGCGACAAGGAAAAGTCTGACATGTTATGACTGCTACCATTATATAGCTCAATCAGATACAGAGACCAATAGAACAGACAATAACACCGCAGGAAAACACCTACTTTCCAGATGACACTTGGAAAAGGTGGATGTGTGTTGTTTTTGTACAACTACTGTGGGCTGCCTGGTACACTGTCACACAAAAAATAGTGCACTAGTGTCCAAGTGTTGAGCAAATCAAAGAAAGATAGAATCAATAATTAGTCAACTGGCAACGTTTAGAAGACACGGAAGAAGCATTGTGTTCATCTATGATGAAAACTACACTGGTTAAAGCGCGCTCTCCTCCGTTTGGGATGCAGGTCAGTCAGCACATCTTATTTGTCTCGTATAGGCTTTCCACAATGCCCAGTGTTGTCAGTCATGATACATTCCCTTGGCCTGCTGTCAGCACATATAAATCTCAACAGTGCTGTCAAAACAGCAGGACTGTCTCTGCTGAGAGCATTTGTAAAATGAGCAGTTGGGCTACAGCCTCCTCGGGAGCGTCTCAGAATCCTGTGATCTTGTGCTGCCTCTGGCCTCTCGCTGCCACACAAAGCTTTTTACAGCTGTCTCAGGGATATCAGCGATCCCTCTTCAGTCAACCAGTGCTCATTGTGGACATATTAGAGTACAAATTAAATGGGGCTATCCTCTACAAGCAATTTAAACAGTTTAACAGAGCATCAGGGACTATCAAAATATGTGAAAGCAATTCTGTCATTCAACTTTTACCACTTGAAAATACCTACAGCTTTTTTGCCAATGATCACAGAAAATAAAAGACTAATACAGATGATAACTGCTTCCTATTCAATGTTCCGTGATTGTAACTGAGAACATGCCAAAACCCATAAAGCCTAAAAAACCAAGCAGCTGAATCCGCCCCTTACATTTATATACGTATTTACACCCACACATCTGTTCTTTGGAGTCCAAGTCTGCAAATGTGGCAGAAAACATGCATGTTTCCGCTATCGTTGCAGACTTCAGCATATCAAATCAAATGTGCTCAGATTTTATACTTGTATTAATATCTTATTTCTAACACTTGTTCATTTGTTTTTAATTGTATAATATAACATAATATAAATGTGATAACAGTTTATTCCCTAGTGCATTAAATAGCATCAAGATTCAAGATTTTCCATGAACTTCAATATGAGCTGAAAATGAGTGAGTAATTATTTATTTACAGCAGATCTGCTCAGGCGCAAGCATCTGAAAGCAATTTTCTCGTGCATTTACGGGGACATATTCTTGACCTACGAACTGCGTTTGATTACCTACTGATGAAATATACCCCAATGTAACTTAAGGTTATAATAACGTTAACTAATTACAGAATAGAGGCTCATATATAAACCATGAAGCTAATGGGACATACTCAAAGGCAACGCATTACTGCACTTTTCAGGATAGATTGTTGTAGATAAATAGACTTTGATAGAATTTTTTTAATTGTCACATTTAAGAGACACTAGAAAACTTGGTTAATTACTTCTATTTGAATACAAAACCACAATAATAACTTAAAAAATCTCAATGTGCACAGCGAATGTATAACTACAACATGACATTTATGTTATGTTGAGGCCTAAAAGGTGCTGTCAAAAGCCAGTAGTAATGCCTTGTGACCATAAGGCAATGCTCTGTGGTACAAGGCTGGAAAAGGTAATGAACAACAGCATTGCAGCCAATGGGGACTCTAAAGTAGTTTCAAGTGCATAACAAAAGTCACTATACTTCAAAATGAATCAGAGGTCCATAGTTTAGAGTATATCAACTTCTCCAGTGTTGCTTCAAATGAATGAATAGATGAATAAGGGTTTATATTCATGCTTAAATGCTTACAAATTTTATAATGCCTAATTTACCTTGGACTTTAACTAGACATGACTGTGACCATAAGCCATTCCAGAAACCTCCATATATACTCCTCTTTCACCTTGAACAACAATTTATTACATCAAACCAGCATGTTTCAAGTCAAGTAATCTATTTTTTGCATAATCTACTAAATTAATCAAATTCGGAAAGAAAATCCTAACAAGACATGGGCACATAAAAGTGACAAAAATACATCTTTATTCACAGCTGTCCTCCGTTTTTCTGGTTTAAAGACCATTTATTTTATATTATTTGACATTATAGTATGGTGTATCATATTAACGGATGAGAGATAACTACACATTCATAGCTGAGGCTACTGACTCTTACTGTCAAAGAAAACTTATAAATGGTTTGAGTTTAGATCATTTCCCCCCATGTTATTGTCACTGCTCTAAAAAAAATCTTCATGTTACTAACACCTTCCCTTTTTAACACAAAGAACAGAATGTCCTGTGTGCCGTTTGTTCTGATATCATGTACCATTGCCAGTGAAGATCAACTGAAGCTTATTGTCTTCTGCTCGTTGATCTTAACAAGAAAAATATCTGTCATCTCCTGGAATAATTATTGAATGAATGCACATTGAATGAATTAAGTAGTTTCCGTACAAGCCAAAGGCATTTATTTTTAGACACTGAAGACAGCCTGGACAACGGCAAGAACTAGGAACAAGTCAACTCTAGTTTTGGGGGTGGGGGGAAGAACGCATAACACAAGAGGTAGTTGCTAACATATAAAAATCTGCGCTGCTTTTTACTTACCTCTATGTAATTTAAGCTCTGACCATGCACTTCACCATAACACAATGAACTTCCCTCATGACAGCTTCGTCAAGCGGCACCGGAACAAACTCTGTCCTCATTGGTCAAGATTCAATCAAACCTCCTCTGATTGGATCACACGCGGAAACCTTTCCTGACGTCACAGCGTTTGCCGCAATATGGCTGCTCCCTTGAACAGTGTGGGCAAGCCCCAAGCTGAACGTTTATCATATAATAGTACGAGTTTTCAGAAGAAAACAAGAAGTAAATTAGTCTCTATACCTGGTACCAGACCTTCGGTTCAAAATGGACAGCTCTTAGTTTCAACCGGGGTCACGTCACTCGACTATCTGCTCGGTTAGTGCTCTGAGTTGTCATGATAGCCTGTAGCTAACAGTGTGTTTAAGTGGCATAGTACGCCCAGGTGCCCAACAACCCAACCTGTATTTTGGTAAAATTTGTCTTTAAGGTCTATGTGGTGATATGATTTGTTTCTGCAGACTGGGTAATACTTGCTATATTGAATTTGGATTAAAGCGTTTGCATCGAGTCTGTCAGAACCCAAACATTACCTTGACTTATGTCGTCAGGAAAGTGTTATGTGTAGGATGTTTTTTCACTCGGCAGTTTACATAATGATACAAGTTTAGAATTCTATGTATGATCAGGGCAGCTTGTCACTCTGCCAAACATTAAATGTAAGTAAAGTTAGATTTATGAATGGGAGTGCTTTTGCCCTATAAGCTATTGCTGTTTAAATCAGCAAAACTATCCTTTCACACAAATGTGTCTTTTATTAGATTCATCCAGCTGATTTTCAAGTTATTTTTTTAAAGATTGTATTCAAATGTATCAGCTTACTTGTGGTGATGACACCAAGTGACATGTTTAGAGACATGTAGTGGAATGTGATGATGATTTTATCCATACTGTAGAGAGTTCAAACAGATGTTTCACAAACATCTCAACATAGTGCATTTTTAGTGGCACAGAATTAATCTTTTTTTGTTTGTTTTTGCTTACTAACAGGTGGTGGTTTAGCAGTTGGAACAGTGCTTCTCATTGGTGAGTTTTCACTTCTTATGTTACGGTTGTGTCTTTTTATTAATTTTAGTGCGAACTGAGTACTGAGAAAAGTAGGTGGCATCATGAGTCAGCCACGCAAATATGAACAAATGAGCATGAAATGAATGCCTATTGTGTGATTTTCTATATGCACAACCATTATGGTCATTTCATGTTTGTTGTTGGTTATAAGGGAACTAATTATGTAAAACAAATCACATTTGTTAAAAACAGGAACCTTTTCTTAAGTGCAAAGTTGGCACAAAGCACATGGCTAGCTGAAATCAGTTTGAATTATTCTTTATGGTTAATACAGTCCATACTTTGAGTTTTTCATATTTAAATTTCATTAGAAAGTTTATCTGCAGACAACACTGTGTATAAGTAAAGTATTTTTTGTGGAGGCAAAGGGAGAATTGTATTTGCTGTAAATTGATTTTTGGAAGATAAACTCTAATAATGTCGATGGTTAAGCAGAATACTATATATATAAGTTATATCGGCTTATAAATCATGACAGTTGAGTCTAAGTGGGTCCTTTGGGAATTTTCTTGTAAATCATCAACGTGCAACCAAAGCAGATCTTTTTAAAATTCCATTCCATCCTAATGCAGCAAAAGTTAAATTTATCCATCAAAGTGATAATAAGCACATTAGGAAAGGTCAAATCAGCATGTCATAGATTACTTAAAAGAAGACTTCGGACCTCCACAATGTCAGTAATAGAGGATAAAAATATTATTACTACAGTAAATAACATTGCAGAAATCCCAGCTAAGTAAAGAGCATACACTCTCCCATGTCAAATAAAAGTCATAGTTGTTTCATCCACCTTTGGCTTTGACTATGACATACATTTACAGTTACGTGGTAAAATCAATTAAATGTCACCTCATTCAAGTTTATCCAGTTTTTTTTTTTTTTACCAAAGCCTCGTATTAATGATTGTCAAGTACTTCCAAAAGATTCTCAGTGGGGTTTTGGTCTAGACTCTGCAATGGCTAATTCATCTGTGTAAACCTGATTTGCAACCCATCAAGGGAGAAACAAATAAAACACATGGCTGAATATGGTGCATGATTACAGTAGCTTGAGCTGGTATTTTTTGGCTTATAAGGTAGGTGTATCTCCTCCTGTGCAACCTCGCATCATAATGTTGAGCCTCAGGTTTAGACATTAAAAGATGGCCCCTATCCCAGTTAAGAGGCTGCTCTCCCTGGATGTGCCACAAATCTATTGCAGGGGGAAATAAAGCTATTTTTTACCAGGATACCTTCAGGTTTCAGAATACAGTTTTAAATGAAGCCATACCTGCTTTAAATCCTTAAAGAACTTCTGGAAATAAAAAATAAATAAAAAATTGAAGACTACTTCAACTACTACCAGATATCTACTGTATTGCCAGAACTGATAGCAGTAACTCATCATCCTAGTACAACACTGCATCCCTCTTTACAGAGTCTTTACAGGTCGTATGGTAGTCTCGAGCAGACTAGCAAATAGACTAATGACCTGAGGATCTCCGGATAGATTCCCAGGTGTTCACACTCTTGCCATGATTCTTAATTAACATGCCCATATGCAGATGTTTTGTAAAAGTTTTCAGAATAACATAAATAGCAAGTGGTTTTTCCAGCTACATAAATGTCTCCCAATACATTATTATTATTATTATTATCATTCATCGTAGGCCAGGCTATATGCACTGGTGGACAGTGAGGTTAAGGTAGTCATGTTTCCCCTTGAAGCTGTAATTTGTGCGTAGCCAAGGCCTATACCAACTGATGATATTGCTTTGCCCTTTAATTCATCCCCCCAATCGATGCAGGAGTCAGTGATTACACACTAATGCGTTCTTCCCTTCCATTTTGTGAATCATTGTACGGTTGGTTTCATCTGGTAATGAGAGACACAGTAAAGGTGAAATGCGTGCGTGTGCACTCTCTTGTGTTTGTCTCAAAAAATATGGTGTTGCGCTCTCCGTGCTGTATGTGTCTCTGTTTGTTTGAGTGGGTGTGTGTGCGTGTGTGTGTGTGTGTGTGTGTGTGTGTGTGTGTGTGTGTGTGTGTG